AGAGGGGGACACAGAATCTGAAGCAGGCTCCAGGCTCTGAGCTGTCAGCACAGAGCCTGACGCAGGGCTTGAACTCACAAACTGCGAGATCGTGACCTGAGCCGAAGTTGGACGCTCAACCGACTGAGCCACCCGAGCGCCCCGGATCCTTTTAATATATGTCATTTCAAGTCACTCTTGGCTGAGAACTTCTAGTGGTATCCCTTCTTGGAGTAAGACCCAAAGGTCTTCTCATGGCCTTCAGGGCCCTAGCTGATCCGTGCTCACCCAAATTCTCTGACCTCATCCTCCAGCACCTTCTGCCTCGCCCACCCCACTCCAGCCTCCACAGCACCCTGCTGTTCACCCGACAAGTGTGACCTGCACTTTGCACCTTGCTCTTCCCTCTTCCCAGAATGTTCTTCTCCCTGATTTACCTGCACAATTTGCTCTCTTCCTCCCTCATGGCTTCTGCTCAAAAGCAACTTGTTAGAAAGGCCTTCCTTGTCAACACTAAACAAAATAGCATCCCCTTCACTCTCTGTCAACTTTTCCCCTGCTTTTGTTCTCTTCATATTATACACTTATTTATATGTTTGTTGTCTGTCTCCCTGCATTGGAACATCAGCTCCATGAGGACAAGGACTACCTTTTGTTCATGCTGATGAACAGTGTCTGGCATATAGTCAGTGCTCAATAAATATCTGTTAAATGATTGAATGAATGGACACACAGATCAGTGGGACAGAATAGAGAGCCCAGAAATAAACCTACACTTACATGGTCAATTAATATAGGAAAAAGGAGGCAAGAATACACGAATGGGGAAAAGACAGTCTCTGCAATAAACAATGCTGGGGAAACTGGACAGCAACATGCACAAGAATGAAACCAGACCACTTTCTTATACCATACACAAATGTAAACTCAAAATGGATTGAAGACCTAAATGTAAAACCTGAAACCATAAAAATTCTAGAAGCAAGCACAAGCAGTAATTGCTCTGACATCGGCCACAGCAACATTTTTCTAGATATGTCTCCTGAGGCAAGAGGGAAAAAACCAAAATACATTATTGGCACTACATAAAAATAACAAGCTTTTGCACAGCAAAGGAAACCATCAACAAAACAAAAAGGCAACCTACTGAATGGAAGAAGATATTTGCAACTGATAAATCCGAGAAGGGGTTAATATCCAAAATATATGAAGAACTTACACAATTCAACACCATAAAAACAGTATGATTTAAAAAACAGGCAGAGGACCTGAATAGACATTTTTCCACAGAAGACATACAGATGGCCAACAGACACATGAAAGATGCTTAACGTCACTAATCATCAGGGAAATGCGGATCAAAATCACAACGAGATATCACCTTTATTTATACTTGTCAGAATGGCTAGAATCAAAAAGAAATAACAAGCGCTGAAGAGGATGTGGAGAAAAAGGAACTCGTGTGCACTGTTGGTGGGAATATAAATTGGTACAGCCACTGTGGAAAACAGTATGGAGGTCTCTCAAATTCCACTACTGGGTATTTACCCAAAGGAAACAAAAACACTAATTTGAGGGCACCTGGGTGGCTCAGTCAGTTAAGCATTTGACTCTTGATTTCGGCTCAGGTCATGATCTCCCGGTTGGTGAGTTTGAGCCCTGCATCAGACTCTATGCTGACAGCACGGAGACTGCTTGGATTCGCGCGCTCTCTCTCTCTCTCTCTCTCACTCTCTCTCTCCCTGTTCCTCCCTTGCTCGTATTTTCTCTCTCTCTCAAAATAAATAAGCTTAAGAAAACCATTAATTTGAAAAGATGCATGCACCCCTATGTCTATTGCAGCATTATTTACAATAGCCAAGATATGGAAACAACCTGTGTCCATCAATAGATGAATGGATTAAGAAGATGTGACATAAACGTGGTGCATATGCACACTTGCGTGTGCACGCGTGCACGCGCGCGCACACACACACACACACACACACTGGGATATGCCTCAGCCACAGAAAAGAATAAGATCATGTCATTTGCCACTACATGCATGGACCTAGAGAGTATAATGCTAAGTGAAATAAGTCAGACTGAGAAACACAAACACCATATTATTTCACTCATCCAAGGAACCTAAAAAAACAAATAAATGAATAAGCAAACAAAAAGCAGAATCAGACCTATAAATACAGAGAACAAACTGATGAGTTAGTTAATTAATTAGTTAGCAGCAATGATAAGATGTTGAAGAAGCAAGCCAATGATGGAGAACTGGCCACACTGGCATTAAATGACCCCGTGATGAGACTGGAAAGGAATGGGCAGAGGTTAAGAGCAATGGGTACCCACAGTGTCAGAAACCAGAGGAAGAAAGAATTTCAAGAAGGAAAGAAAGGGCAGAGTCAACTACTGAGAGAGGCCAAGTAAGGTAACACTTGAAAATCGCTCACTGGATTGACTCTAGCAAATCTATGACTGACCTCATGGCAGCAGTGTCAGTGGTGTGGAGGGGGCAGAAGCCAGACCACAGTGAGCGGAGAAAAGAGTAGGAAGTAAAACAGTGGAGGTGACGAATGTAGATGAACTTTCCAAGAAGCAATGGCAGGTGCTGGAACTGGGGTTGGGAGGTCTGGGGGGAGAAGACTTTACAGGAGGACCTTATGATCTGGCAGTGTCTGCTAACGTCAGATATAAGCAATGTGGCTACAGAATTATCGCAACACCCTCCTGACTGTCTCCCTGCCCTTGTCTCCCATCTCCACACCATCGGGTGCTGGGGCCAAATTAATGTCCCACAAGCACAGATCCTGTCCACGTCCAAGCTCAGTAACTATCAAAAATTCCCCTATGCCTACAGACAAAACCTTACCTCTTAGCATTTAAGGTTTTCCATAATCTGACTCCAATCAATTTCTCCCTATGTCTCTTCTTGCCCTCAGATGCCACCTTCAAAATGCCTCCCTGATCTCCCACGAGGAATCCGGTTCTCCTGCTTCTGGACTACTGTGAAAATCACACCTCCATCTGTCTTCCAGCCCTGGTGACTTTTCATCATGTGATGCCAATTACACACATCCCATCTCCTCTAAGACACCCTCAGTTCTTTGAGGGCTGGATCCATGTCTGACTTATCTTCGAATCTTCACCAGGAAGGTACTCAAAATATTTGAGCAAATAAGTGAACGACCAAACAAATCAGTCCTACTCTGCGCCTTGGCATTTGGAATAAATTTACCCAGGAGCCGTGTGAATGGAATCGAAACCTGGCAGACAACAGGCATGGCCAGGGCCAGGGGGGGCTGCCTTGCCACAGCACCTTGTAGTTGGAAACCTGACTTTACAGACTGAGGGACTGGACTTGAATGAAGATGGCGTAGAGCTGAAGACTATTTCTTGATACTTGTGCTTATGGGCAGAGGGCTTGAAAGATAAAACCATGGCACTGACATCCGTGTGCTGCCTTCAGAGTTTGTTTCAATGAAATGAAGCCAGCCCAGGTTGCTAGGTTTAGCTCTGCCACTTACCAGCTCTGCATTCTCAGGAAATTCACCAAACCCTGTGGGTCTTGGTTTCTCCACACTCATCTGCCAAACTCATGAGGGTCTAATGGATGTGAAAGGGTGGTCACCGTCTGTGAAGTGCTATCATGCACGGAAATGAGATTTCAACCCGTTCCCACAGTGTGTTCACTGAAAACAGCCACTACCTTCTAAATGCTGGTTAAGCCAGTGTCCCTGAGGATCAGAAAGAGCATTTTCAAGTTTCCAAGCCTAGTTTTAATCAGACATACAGAGCGTTCTTGCTTTAAAAAATGAAATTAAACATCTCAAGACAGCCACTTAGTAACAAATAAAAGTAGCTGATCTCCCTTATCTAAAATACTTTCACTGCTCAGTATTGAAGGGTGAATTTAAATTGGGATTCATTAATTCCTTGGCTTGAGGTTCTGGAAGCTATAGGGTACTTTCATCAGTAAGGTAGCGGCCAAATCTATTTCTCTCTCCAAGACACTTTACAACACAATTACCCCACCTGTTCAGGAGAGTTAGTCATGTTAACTCATCTCTCAGAATGTTCAGGGGAACAACCAAGTTCTCTTAAAACACAAAAGCCTACAAAAGTAAAATATTTGATATAAAAGCTAGTTTAAGGTTGATGATTTAATTAAAACAGACACATCTTTAGATATATCAACATTAAATTTGTTTTAATTTGTTTTAATATTTATTTGTTTTTGAGAGAGACAGAGAGAGTGCAAGCAGGGGAGGGGCAGAGAGAGGGAGACACAGAATCTGAAACAGGCTCCAGGCTCTGAGCTGTCAGCACAGAGCCCAAGTCAGGGCTCAAACCCACAAACTGTGAGGTCATGACCTGAGCCGAAGTCGGACGCTTAACCGACTGAGCCACCCAGGCGCCCCTTAAATATTTTTTTAAAAGCCTACCAAAGGATATAAGAAATTTATTCACATAAAGCCAAATGCCGACTCATTTTAGATATTCTCAAGTAGATGCACCATCGACCAAAACTGCCTGTCTACTATGTGCCAGGCACCAAGGTTAACACAGAGAAGAATAAATTTCTTAGAATATGTTCTCGTACATGAGAAAAATTTCTGAAAACCTCATTTGGTCCTCAATGCTGTGAGAAAGGCAAGGCAGGGATGATTATCTCCAGAACAAAATGGGTTCAAAGAGATTTACTGATTTAACTGAAGCCCCACTGCTGGTTAGTAAAAAAACAGTAGATTTTTTCCCACGTCTTCAAACTGCCCTCAACACCCTTATACTCTAGTTGTAGAGGTAAAATAGTAACACACAGGAAGAGACAATGCCCTGCACACAGCAGGTGCTCAACTAACACCTACTGGTGGTGGTGGTGATAATGTGGTGGTGATGACGGTGGTGGAGATGGTGGTGATGACAGCAGTGACAATGGCAATGCTGACGATCATGGTGATGGGAGCCAGTAAGGCACAGGTGTGCGTGCTAAGTGACCGGCAGAGATGCTGAAGGCGAATGGAGCTCACCTGAGTCCTCTCCATACCAGTCAGTCTGGACATCCATCACGGCACTCATGGCTCCTCCCGCACCCTCTGGTCTTCCCTCCAAACTTCGAGAGAAGTGATGGTCCACGTCACCTTTGCCCTGGACGGCACCATTGCGCAGGAGTGCCTCCAGGAACTGCTTCACGTGGTAGTTACCGTAAGCCAAGTCGATGGCCTGGCCACCGGGCAAACCCTCGTCCATGTGGGCCAGGCTGAGTGGGGTGGCATACGGCTGCAGCTGTTCGCCCAACTCCACCTCCACCTCGTCGGCATCAAACTCCACCTTGGGCTCTATCTGTTTGGGCAGAATAGAGAGGTCACTGTCAGCTGGGCCACTGCCCTGGCCGTCCTTCGCCGCCAGTTCCAGGGGGTGGCAGCCTCTGCAGTCACTGCGAGGGGGCTCTCTTGGACAGTCCACCCTCTCCTCTCCCTCGGCCGGAGAGGGGACCACGCTCTTGGTGTCACAGGCGGTCCCTTCCCTGCCTGAACTGGGGCTCCCGCCGTCCACCTGATGAGCGGCCACCGCCGCCGCGGCCGCCGCCGCCACCGCTGCAGCCACGGCAGCCTCCTTCTCCATCTTCCGGCAGATATCAAGGGACGACCTGATGTAGGCCTTGCAGAAGTTCACCACGTCGTTCATCTGCAGGTAGCTGGCCGCCGACATGACTTCAATCACGTTGTCCCCGCACAAATCCAGCTTCCCAGAGTACAGGAAGTCTAAGATGGTGGAGAAGGCATCAGAGGTGACTATGTCCAGGGAGGCGGTGCTGTGCCGCCCGCTGTCCTGGATGTAGTGAATGAGCAGGGCTCGGAAGTAGCCGCTGTTGGCAAACAAAATGTTCCTGTGGGCCTTGAAGATCCGCCCTTCCACGATGATGCTGCAGTCACAGAAAAAGTCCCTCTTTCGCTGTTCATTCAACTCCCCCAAGAGCTTGGCATGATAGGACTGCATCTCCATGTCTCCACCAGCTGCTGCTGCTCTGGAGTAGCCTGAATCTCTGCCAAGATTGTTTTTTTGAAGTTAATTCACCAATTACTTTTTCCTTTTGTTTTAAAGTTTATTTTTGAGAGAGTGAGAAAGCATGAATGGGGAGGGGCAGAAAGAGAGGGAGAGAGAGAATCCCAACTGTGCTAACAGCACAGAGGGGGGCTCGATCTCATGAATCATGAGATCAGGACCTGAGCCAATATTAAGAGTCAGACACTGGGGCGCCTGGGTGGCTCAGTTGGTTGAGCGCCCGACTTCGGCCCAGGTCATGATCTTGTGGTTTGTGGGTTTGAGCCCCATGTTGTGGGTTTGAGCCCCACATCGGGCTCTCTACTGACAGTTTAGAGCCTGGAGCCTGTTTCAAATTCTGTGTCCCCCATCTCTCCCTGCCCCTCCCCCCCAAAATAAAATAAACATTTAAAAAAATTTTAAAGACTCAAAATATAGATAACACCCAAATCTAAGACTTATAGTTCAGTCCTGATACGGAACTCAGAGACCATACTTACCAGTCTGGGCACACACCTTTTGCTACTTTATGGAAGCATTTGGTGGGCCAGCCAGCACACATTCATCATTCTTATGGTTTTGGTAGGTTTTCTGGCTTTGATAGAACCACCCTTCCCCCATTCTTCACCAATGTGTTTTGAATTTTTTTTTTAATTTTTTAATCTTTATTTATTTTGGAGAGAGAGAGCACGCGTGTGATTGGAAGAGGGGCACAGAGAGAGGGAGACACAGAATCCAAAGCAGGCTCTAGGCTCTGAGCCATCAGCACAGAGCCTGATGTGGGGCTCGAACTCATGAGCGGTGGGATCACGATCTGAGCCAACGTCAGATGCTTAACTGACTGAGGCACCCAGGTACTCCATTGGCCAATGTGTTTTGCATCAAGCTGGCCCCATCCTCAGGCTCTAGATATAATAGAGGCCACCACAATCAACGTGTCCCACCTTCTGACCACAGTGACTAGCTGAGAGATGGCCATGTGGCTTGGTCAGAGCAATGAAAAGCAATGAAATGTTTACTGGGGCACCCAAAGAAGAGCACTCTCTACTCAGTGGGCATGTGGATGTCAAAGATGCTGCCTCACAGGGGTGCCTGGGTGGCTCAGTCGGTTGAGCGTCCGACTTCAGCTCAGGTCATGATCTCGCAGTTTGTGAGTTCGAGCCCCGCGTCGGGCTCTGTGCTGACAGCTCGGAGCCTGAAGCCTGCTTCCTGAGTCTGTGTCTCCCTCTCTCTCTGCCCCTCCCCTGCTCATGCTCTGTCTCTCTCTGCCTCAAAAATAAATAAGAACATTAAAAAAAAATTTTTTTTAAGATGCTGCCTCACCACCAAGAGAACCGCCCAACAAAGATGACAGCTCAGTTCAGACAGGAACAACAGGTACCCCGGGGACACCATCTGGGCCCCAACTCATGCTGTGCCAGAGGCCAGTTAAGTCCCTTTTTGCCTTAGCTGGTCTCAGCTGGGTTTTCTATCTCTTGCAATTGAGAGACTCTTAACGGATTGACTCCACTATCCTTGGTCCACTCCTCCAAACTTTAGGTCCTGACCCTCATTGGTCAGGGGACTAAAAGCCTTGGAAGGTACAAGCCACATCTTACTTCATTTGCTATCCCCCATAGCACCTGGCAAAGTGCTTTGGACAAAGTAGGTTCGGTAAGTAGAAAGGAATACTCCTTTCTTAACTGCTAAGTAGAGCAGGTATAAATCAAGTTTACCATCCTTCTGCTACTGCGAAAGACAGATGCTGACCTTCCCCGAGCTCTCTCTCTTCCATCTTTTCCCATCACACAAACCACAGAGCCAACCTGCAACAGCACTCCAGCCTGGTCTTAAGGGTCAACCTACTTCAAGTTAACACACTCCTTGCTTGCTGACTTAAGGCCCTTGATCTGTAACAGAACTAATTTACTTTCTTTTAAGACTTGCGGACCACTGGCCTTGGGGAATGAAGGACCAGAACTTTCCTAGGCCACAAAGGCCAGCAAGTCTGTTTGAAGCCACCTCAGCTTTCTGATTAGCCCAGAAACATTGAGCAAAATGTTTTTCTTTTTTAAGGTCACGCAAATGACTTTGCTGACCTCCCTTTACACATCTGCAAACCTTGCCCTCCTTTGCAGAAAGATCAGAGTGCTCTTGCACAACCCCCGGGTAACCAGGAACCAGACGTTCTTGCACAACCTCTGAGCACTGAGATAATTCTGTAGCTGGCATCATCAAGTCCTCACACAATCAAGAAATGTCAAAGACCATGGTACTCCGTTAACTGATTAAATCGCTTTAAAAATCCCTGGGTCAGGCAGAAACCTCGGTGTTGGCTTTTGGACAAGAGTCCGCCTTCTCCCCAGGTCCCTGGGCTTCTGAACAAAACTCACATTCTTTTTCAATCAAAACTCATCTCTTGAGTATTGGCCTTTAGAGCGACAAGCAGCAGAACTTCGGTTTCCGTAACAATCCATTGACTACCCCTTTTCCGTATTGACCCACTGAGCACAGGGAAGTTTCTAGAACCAAGTCCATCATCCCTCTACTGGAATCACAAAAGGCCTGGTTAGAGCTGCCAACCACAACTCACAACTCCTTAGTGCTCTTCCTTTCTACAAATGCAATGCCACAATACCCTAACCAGCCAAAAACCAGGCACTTTCTCCCCACAAAAAGGGCTCTTCCATTGGCAAAATTGATTCCCCATAGTCTGTGTACTAACTACACGGACTATACTCATTAAAGACCCACAAGAACCTTATTAACTGGCAGTTCACACTTACTTTATACATATTTATAACAAGTGATGCATTTCACTTGTTTCAGTTTAGAAACTAGACAACCAATTAGGGAGAAAAGTAGAGAGGATCCTCTATAAGATAGTAAACTGACAAAAGTGAGAGTTGACAGCCAGGAAAAGGTAAAAAATGTTTCTTAAAAAAATAGACCCAGGAATTTTTTCAAAACATCAGCCTGAGGCCATTTAGCTAAGCAACATTAAATGCTCCTACATATTCAAAATGGCCTTAGGACAGCACTAAATTATAGCCCAGGGCTATAAGTGATGGGCTTAAGTCCTCAAGAAGATTCTTATCTGTTTATATTCATTGTAAAGTCAAGGAAGTTATATCATAATTTCTGGAATTTTTTCATCCAAAGTAGTTAAAATTAACATTTGCTTCAGAAAGGAAGAAAACCGTTAGATATCTGCAAAATTCTACGATTCCCAAATAAATCAACCCTGAAAGTTGTCACAGGACTAAGGCTTCACTGTCATTCCCACCTCTTCTGACTTTTCCAACCAAGCCTTCCCAGCAGTTCCTGCTGCTGCCTTTGGCAATCAAAATACGAAGGGAGGGGCACCTGGGTGGCTCAGGTCTTGATCTCACAAGGTTCATGAGTTTGAGCCCTGAATCGGGCTCTACGCTGACAGTGCAGAGCCTGCTTTGGATCCTCTGTCTCCCTCTCTCTGTCCCTTCCTGACTCACACGCATTGGTGCACACTCTCTTTCTCTCTCTCTCAAAATAAATTAAAAAAAAAAAAAACCTTAAAAAAATATAAATGGGGTGCCTGGGTGGCTCAGCTCGTTAAGGGTCCAACTCTTGATCTCAGCTCAGGTCATCAGGTCATGATCTCATGGGTTCATGAGATCGAGCCCCGCCTCAGGCTCTGCCACAGCTCAGGGCCTGCTTGGAATTCTCTCTCCCTCTCTCTCTGCTCCTTCCCTGCTCATGCTCGCTCTCTCTCTCTCTCTCTCTCTCTCTGTCTCTCAAAATAAATAAATCAACTTTAAAGAAAAATAAAAAATATGAAGGGAAAATCAAGATATAGGAAAATACAACATTTCAATACCATAGTTTACTCCCTTCCTCAGAACTGAAAGAAAACCTATCAGACTGGTAACATCACGTTTGTCAACTGTCATGTGCTAATATCCACTGGTGATGCAGATGTAACTTGGAACACCATTCTAGAGAGGAATTTTGCAATATTTATTAAAACTTAAAATGCACACTTCTTTTGTCCCAGAAATATCAATATAAAAATTTACCCTTTTGGATGTGTTGCCAAAAAATATCAAATTACAAGTTCAGAGATGTCCATTCACCAGGCTTTTATATGAGCACAAAAGTATAAAGAATGTCCAACAGGGGACAAGTTAAATAAATGAGGTGCAATCACACAGGGGAATACTATGCAGCCACGTTTTTAATGAGCCAGAGTTGTGTGTGTTTGTTATGGATAGGTCATCAAGGTATATTGAGAGAAAAAGACAAGAAGCAAAACAAAATGTACCATATGATTCCATCTGGATAAGCATGATTTTTTTCAATGTAGGGTTACACAAGCAAGAGTTAATAGCAGACACCCTTGAGAAGAGAGATTAAGGGTAAGAAGTATGTGAAGGGATCGCCACTTTTCATTTTCAACCTGTTAGAATGTTTCACTAAGTGCATGTACTGCTTTCATTTTTTTTCTTTTTAAACAAAGGGGGTAAAGGAGGAAGGGCAGAGGAATAACGAGTTGGCCAATCAGGGAGATAAACTGGTGTAGGCCCAACACTTCTTAGCTGAAGAACAGTTTTATCGACAGGGCACTTCCATCTTTCACTGGAAGATGCTCCTTTCCAGCAACAGTACCCCAAACCCATTTCCTTTGGCTTTCTCTCTGCAAATAATCCAGATTCTGTCGGGTCATGTCAATACTCCTTAACTTGGCAAAAGTCTGTCCACAACCCTTTCCCCAACCCTGTATTTGGCATATAGTGTGGAAATCCTTATTCATATCACTTGCCTTTGGTGCCCTGCAACCGTGGGACAGGCTGAGGATCACTACTTCTCCTTGGAAAGAAGCTCTCTGGATCTACTGCTGTCAGAAGTACACTTAGCCTCACCGGTTAGGGGAACCCCCAGCCCTCTGACTGTTGCAATTCAATTCAACAGTTACTGGTTACATACAAGGAAGGTGCCAGGAATAGAAAAATGAGCCAAGTACACCGTGCATGTCCTCCGGGAGAGAGCAGATGCCAACACTACTCTCTACAGCACACTCCCACGTTCCCCTAGGGAATGCTACCCAGATCACATGACTGCCTTCATGCTGGCACCAAAACCAGCCTTGAATTCCACCCGCCGACTCTGCCAAGACTCCTTCAGTCTCACCAACCTGAGAATAATGAAAACCTGCTCATCCATTGCTAGCATTTACTGAACACCACTCTTCATGAAGCACTGTAGACAGTACTTTACAAGCATTAATTAACTTTTACCTCACGATAACCCAATGCAGTAGATATCATTGTTATACCCTCTTTTTTTAGGGGAGGAAACTGAAGTTCAGATTTATAGCTAACATGTGCAAGTCAGGACTGAAACCAAAATTGGTTTGATTCCAGGGTTGACATTCTTAACCGCTATGCCAACCTGACTCCCCATAGGGTTCAGGAAGTCACTCCTCTCCCAACGCATGGAGGGAAGGGGAACGACACGGGTGAAGAGTTTCCATTTTCACAGAAAAAATTTCAGGGTCAACTGCACCTTGGGTTCACCTGCTAAACTGTTCCCAACACAAGGGGATCTCCACCCCTTCCCCACCTTCCAAAGACAGACGACCCTGCGGAGATCACCGGAACCAGTTCCTGGACCGGTCTTTGGCTCCTGAGGGTGGGAAACAGGGGCCTTACCCGTCTCGTTGCCTCCTGCAGACAAAGTGACCATCGCTGCGGTGGGCATTGCCCCAACCTGGCCGAGCCCTCGCGTCCCAGCACCATCGCAATGGGCGGGCGCCAGGACCACCCGGCTGGACGACGCGGCGAGACAGCCCAATACCACGGAAAGGGGGACAGCTGCCGCCGCGCCGACGCTCCCCACTCTGGAGGGAGGGAAGGGTCGGTCATCCAGCTCAGGTTTGGGTGGTGGGAGGTCTCGGGAGCAGCCAGGGCCCGGAGGTCCGAGGGAGGCCGACCAAGAGGGGAGCTCTCTGCCCGCTCCCTCCACCCAAGGCGGACCTCCTGGGGCGCCCCGAATGTTCCCCAAACCAATGAAAGGGGTAGCGCGAACCCGCTTCTCGACTCTCACCTTTCAGCGGGATCCAGCCTTGCGGCCGAGCTACCGCACAGCGACACGCCCCTCTTTCATTCACCTGTCGCCCCCTCCGTGAGAAGCGAGGCAGCTGACCAATCACAGGGGCTCCTAGGCTCAGGAAGGCGGACCCTTCGACCAGCGGGTTAGTCAATGGCGCCCGTGCCCCCTCCTGAGGCTGCGCTCTGATGGCGCCAGTCCTCGCGCGGTGACGGGAGTTGTGGTCTCAGCGTTCGTTTCTCCAGCAAAGATATAGTGGACAAAACTACAAGTCCCGAGATGCCAAAAGGGGCAAGAACGGACACTAGCAGAAGGCTGGAGCTCTGTTCGGTCTTCTGAGTCCCACTCGAGGGACCTGCGAAGTGTCGGCGTCTTTGTCCGGAGAGCTGAAAGCACGACGTGCATATTAAAGTCGCCCGGAGAATGAGAGCTCTGACCTATCAGTCCGCACACATTTTACTTGCCGGCGCTTCGCAGAAATTCTGCAAAGAGTGAAATGGTTTCATGTACTCAACAGGTTTTTAACGAACACCCCGACACCCTCTTCCCTTGAAAAGCTTTCAGGGTCATGTATGCAAGTGAAACAGTTAAATAGCGGTACCCGGTGCTCAGGAACAGTACTGACATGTTGTGGGACAGCTGTGAACAAGACAAACCAGCTTGCCATTCTCGCGGAGCTCAGTTCTCATAGTGGGTGTATCAGTTTGTGAGCGCTGCTGTGTCAAAACACTACAGGCCGCCTTAAACAGCAGAAATTCATTGTCTCGAATTTCTGGAGGCTGGAAGTCAAGGTGTGGGCAGGGTTGGTTCCTTCCGAGGGTTCTGGAGGAAGGATCTGTCCCAGGCCTCTCTCCTGGACTTGTAGCTGGCCCTCTTCATGTTCACGCTCTCCCTGTATATATCTCTGTGTGTAGATTTCCCCTTTATATAAAGTCACTAGTCATAGTGAATTAGGGGTTCACTCTACCCCAGTAAAACTTCGACTCAACAAACGAGTGCATTTGCAATAACCCTGTTTTCCAAATAAGGTCATATTCTGAGGTGCTGGGGGTTAGGACTTCAGCACATGAATGGGAGCAGCTGGGGGGGGGGTTGGAGTGCAGGCAGAGTCCAACCCATAACAAGGGGAGATGGCTAATAAACAAAAAAACAACTACAAAAAGGAAATATATGAAGTGCATGGCAAAGAATTAAAACAGGTAGACGATCCAACAAAGTGATTTGGTGGCTATGAGGGGCTGAAGGTCAAGGATGGCTTCTCTCAGTTGGCAACCTTCCAGCTGCCATGCTCAGGTTAAACAGATGAGCATTGCAGGCAGGGAAAGAGCTAGTAGGAAGGTTCTAAAAACAGATTGGGATGTGCCTAAGAAATAGGAGGACAGCCACCGGGGTAAGGGAGTGAGAGATAGGCAAACCAGCTTAACCGGTGTACCAACTGTGCAGGTCACACAGAGCTCTGCACTCAGAAAGCTCTACACTTGAAACTAGAAATAGGTGGTGGTTGTACAGCGTTGTGAACACACTAAATGCCACTGACTTGTATATTTTTAAATGACTGAATGTATATTGGGTGGATTTTACCTTAATTAAAAAAAAAAAGTGTGGAGGGGACACCTGGGTGGCTCAGTTAGTTAAGCATCTGACTTTGACTCTTGATCTTGGCTCAGGTCATGATCTCCTGGTTCATGGGTTCGAGCCCTGCATCAGGCTGTGCGCTCTGCACTGATAGTGGAGCCTGCTTGAGATTTTCTCTCCCCCCACCTCTCTCTGCCTTTCCCATTTTCGGACTCTCTTTCTCTCTCTCAAAATAAATCGATAAACTTTTTTTTTTTAAATGTGGAGAGAAAGTGATCATGGGGATTATCAGTTAATTCAGTAAATCAGTTAAGTGTAGGTTAATTGAGAGAAGTTCTTCTAATAAATTTAATCTAGATTATGAGACGGGATTGAATTTCTTAGCAAGAACATAGTATTGTCTGCTGAGCTCCAAGGAAGTGTTCCCTCCTCCTTTACATGAAAAATTCTATCCTTCCTTAATTGATAAGATTGAACCTTCATTGCTGAAGAAAACTTAAGTTCCTTCTTGCCCCTTGGCCAGAACCAAAGCCCAAGCATAACATGTCCTGGAGGATGAAAAGCAGACAAAAACTAGGGAAAGGGAGGCCTGCCCAAAGAAAACAATCGCAGGAATCTGCTATTTTATTTGATGAAAAAGCAAGGGACTATTTATGGAGGTGAATTTGGAGGGTACTTAAATAAGGAAAGCCTGAATATGATTTCAGATCAAAATGAATTTATTGGTTTGAATATATTCACTGGAGATTCTGCATCCAGGGAGCTTCCTCTGATGGCTGGCAGCTGTTATTCTAACAATTGAAGTGTTGGTTTATGCAAAACTGGATACAATACTGACCTGTCATTCATTTGTATGACAGTGGAAATCTTTTGCCATAAACCAGAGGAATACATTCAAAGATCTCAGGAGTCAGGATGATTTATTGAATCTGTCTGTGCATCTTGCTGATCAACCCAATAATTATATTCCTTGAAAAGACCCAGAATTCACCTCCTTTACCAAAACCAGAGGACAATTGATGAAGGAAGTGCCAAAATCATTAAAAGGCACTTTACTGACCATCCTCTCTAAGCCAGGAATGATGGCGGATGGGTCCATAATTGAAATGTACTCTCATTTCAGGAGGAGGAGTCTGGAATGATACAGCCCAAGTGGTGGCAGTTACCCAACAAATACAAAATGGGAAGTGTTACTAATAAGCAGCAGGGTTGGCATGAAATCAGAGTGGTTTGATCCACAGAGATTTTTGGAAACAACTAACGAATCAGGGACAGTCTACTAAATTCCCATTTAATTTTTATAACAGTAACAGAAAAAAAAAAATACTTCCATGCCCAGTGAACAAAGGCCTATCTTGATGCAATAAACAATTTTGTTCTAATTATTTTTTTGAGATAGAGATAAAGTGAGATAGAGAGAAGGAGAGAGAGAATCCCAAGGAGGCTCCACACTGTTAGTGCAGACCCGACGTAGGGCTCAAACTCATAAACCGTGAGATCATGACCTGAGCCAAAGTTGGACATTTAACCGGCTGAGCCACCCAGATGCCCCAAAAGACAGTTTTGATTTTTCATCCAATGTCCATACTTGAGTAGGTTCAGGTGTGTCGACCACTGAATAAAAAGAAAGTTAGGGGCGCCTGAGTGGCTCAGTTGGTTAGGCAACTGACTTCGGCTCAGGTCATGATCTCACAGTTTGTGAGTTTGAGCCCCGCGACAGGCTCTGTGCTGACTGCTTGCTCAGAGCCTGAAGCCTACTTCGGAGTCTGTGTCTTCACCTCTCTCTACCTCTCCCCTGCTCACGCTCTGTGTTTCTGTCCCTCAATAATAAATAAACGTTAAAAAAAATTTTTTTTAAAGAAAGTTAAAGACCCTTAAGGAAAGACCCAACAATAACCTGCAGGACCATACCATGAGTCTTTCTCCAAAGAATTTGTACTCAAATATTCAAACCTTTTGGGAACAATCAGACAATGGCCACACAAATTCCTGGACACCCAGGATGCTTCTGCGCTGCACTAGAGTGTGGGCTTTACAGAAATGTATGAATCAATGTCTAATCAGGAAAACAGATACCACCCTACATATTTAAAGCAGAGAAGACTTTAATGCAGGGGGTTGGTCACAAAGACATTGGATATACTGAAGAATGTGGGAGAGAGAGAGCATTATCCAGAGCCCAGGAAATTGCTACTGCCCTTGGGCTGTAGCCTACAACCCCACACTCCCTACCGACAATGCTGGAGGACCCAGTGCTGTCAAAGCCAAGGTACCTCCTGAAGCAGAAAGGTTTCTCCCTTCCTCCCACCTTTAAATATAACCAAGTGCCGGGGCACCTGGGTGGCTCAGTTGGTTGAGCGTCCGTATTCAGCTCAGGTCATGATCTCGCAGTTTGTGAGTTCGAGCCCCGTGTCAGGCTCTGGGCTGACAGCTCGGAACCTGGAGCCTGCTTCAGATTCTGTGTCTCCCCGTCTCTAGGTGCCTCCCCTGCTCATGCTCTGTCTCTCTCTGTCTCTCAATAATAAATAAACGTTAAAAAAAATTAAATATAACCAAGTGCCTCCCATTGGCACAACCTAACTGGGACACAGCTATCAATGGAGTTTGGGAATTTGGGAAATGTAGTTTGCAAGATTCTGGCCCTGGCAGTCCAAGGGAGATCACAGTGGGACAGGTAAGAGGCTAGGCACCTAGAGAAAATATGAAGTATAGAGAGCCTGGTTATAAATGGAATTTTGACCAAAGTCCACTCAAGGATAGATCTAGCCCCTAAATCCATCTGCTAGTTTTTCCTCATTTGTATAATTAGACTAAATATCTTAAAGGGGCACCTAGGTAGCTCAGTCAGTTGAGCGACCGACTTCGGCTCAGGTCATGATCTCACCATTTGTGAGTTCGAGCCCCACATTGGGCTTGCTGCTGTCAGGGCAGAGCCTGCTTCAGATCCTCTGTCCCTCTCTCTCTCTACCCCTCCCCCACTTGCGCTTTCTCAAGCAAATAAATAAACATTTTAAAAAAAGAATAAATATCTTAAACTACTGGCAGAATCCTGCATTGGCACTCAGGCCATAGGTTGGTTAACAGCTTTTATTATTGGAAAAACAAAGTGCAAGTCATTGAAGTTCCTGATTCCCATAAAATGTAAATTAAAATAAAAGAGCTTGAGAGCATCACAAAGATTAATGCCACCATTAAAGACTTAAAATATGCGGAGGTGATGATTTCTGTCACATTTATATCGGTGTCCTGGGGCGCCTGGGTGGCTCAGTCGGTTAAGCATCCGACTTCGGCTCAGGTCATGATCTTGTGGTCCATGAGTTCAAGTCCCGGGTCGGGCTCTGTGCTGACAGCTCAGAGCCTGGAGCCTGTTTCAGATTCTGTGTCTCCCTCTCTCTCTGACCCTCCCCCATTCATGCTCTGTCTCTCCCTGTCTCAAAAATAAATAAACATTAAAAAAATATATATATATAAAACAAAGACACAGATATATATATAAACATTAAACATACATATATATGTTTATATATATAACAAAGACACAGATATATATAGAAACACATTAATATATATATACAACAAAGACACAGATATATATATATATAAACATTAAAAATATATGTATATATATAACAAAGACACAGATATATAGATATAGATATAGATATATATCTATCTGTGTCTTTGGGAACTGGAAAAGTCAGATAGCCTTGAAGAAGGCAGAAGAATATTGTAAACTTAATCAAATGGTGACCCCAATTGCAAATGCTGTTTCAGATGTGGCTTTGGGGAGGACAGATATCAGTACAACCCCCAGAACTTGATCAGGCCAATGCATTTTTCCCACTATGACAAAGAATATACGAGAAACAATTAGCTTTATAGTCCTGCCTCAGAGAAAAGCCCACCTGCTGGTCTCTGCCCTAATTTAGTCTGCAGGAGCCTTGACCCTACCGTATTCAGTCAGTCCCGTGCGAAAAACCAGAAGCTGCTCCTGGTCTTTCAAACAGATCTCGCTTGCCAGCAGCCACAGCTGCAGAGAGATGGTTTCTGCCTTAGTTCTGCTTTCCCAAGTCTCCTGTGGGTGCATCTACTTGAAGGAATCGGATTTACATCAGAACCTCCGCTGTAAGGGAGCCTGGGAAGTGTTTTTAGCTTTACACCTCCTCAGATAGAAGGAGGACGGAATAGAGGTCAAGATTCCATTCCAAGTTTCTGTCACTTCATCCCACAGGCTCTCATACTGGTGGCCCGATACTGATAGAACCAAAAAAAAAAAAAGAGAGAGAGAAAGTAGCAGGTGCCAAAGGGTGGAAGATAAATCCAGTGAAAATATAGTGCCCTGCCACTTCATTAAAATTCTGGGTGTCACATGTTTTGAGACACTTCAGGACATTCCCCCCAAAGCAAAGGACAGGTTGCTGCACTTTGGACTTCCCACCTCTTAGACGGAGCCCTAGGGTTTGATGGGTCATTTGGGATTTTGGAAGCACCACCTGGTGCACTGACTGCTCCTACCCATTTGCCAGTCTCCAGCTGTGAGTAAGGCACAGAGGGGGAGAGGGCAGAAGAGGCCTCCCGACCTGGTCCAGGCCATGCAGTGCACATAGTTCAGGCTTTCAGCCCTGATCGTTCGGAGTGCCTGAGGCAAATCAGAGTGCTCCCTGAGGCCTACCACAGACACTGATAGAAGGTCGCTGTAAACAGGCCCTCAGGGCTTGGAGGCAAAGCCATGCTTCATTCATAAGTGAGTATTTTTCTTTTGAGAAATAGCTCCCGGGTTTTCGCTGGGCTCCAGCAGACTGCACACTTGACCAAAGGGCACCCCAGGTGACCTTGTAACCTGAGCTGCCCCCCAATGAACTGCCATCTGACCCCTCTGCCCAGCAGTTCCCTCGGGGAAAGGGTCCATATAGAAGCAGGTTGTCCTCAAGGAGATTGCTTGAGAGACTTGGGAACAAAAGGATGGGGACAGAGGAGCAAGGATAGACCTGCTGGAGTGGGCCCAGACCAGTAGAATGTTCCCAGCTATGTGAGTGAGTACAACAAGGCTCCACTGTGAAGGGGAAATTAGTAGAGCCTGGTTTTCTGATGACAGATTCTGAAACAGCAAGAGGTGGCCCCGAGGGATAGTGGCGAAGGAGATCCCTCAGCAGGGCAGGACTGTAAGCAGCATGTCTCATTACCCACTTTGCCTGGAAGAAAAGACGGCCCGAGGTGAGGACCTGTACCAGTTCATGGGCAATGACTAATGATTTGAACAGCTGGAAGTCTTACAAGATTGGAAGTTCATGACAAAGAGGCTTGGGAAAGATGAATTTCTTAGAATGGTCCCAGATCATGAGACAGAAGGTATGCCATACAAATAGTCACCATGGGCCTCAACTATGGGGGAAGCTTTGAATAGCAAATAGAATGTTCTGTGGATGTTAACCAGATGGCCTCTTCCCCCAGCCAGTGCAGCTCTTGTTCCATAGGTTCATTGAAAAAGGACCATGATGACAGGAGTGGAGACTACCTGCATGGGCTAAAGAAGACGGACATCTCCATCTGTGGACTTAATACGCAGTCTTGTTATCTCACAAAATATTGTTTCTAACCATGGAAATCACTTTGCAAGACAAGAAGTGGGAAGCTGAGCAGGGGGTACCCGCAGGATTCATTGGTCTTACCACGTGCTCCATTAGTCAGCATTCTACCATGATGGAAAGGCCTCCTGAAGGTCCACGTAAGGTCCCAGCTGTAGACACTTCATGAACTAGAGAGCCATCCACAGGATACAGTAATGCTCTGAACCAGGGTACGTACTGTTTCTCCTTTAGCCAGAGAGCAGTTCGAGGACCAAGGGGCTGGATGTAGGAGTGGCTCTCTCACAATGAAACCGTTTTACAACTCAAACATTCTTTGCTTCTTGGCCTCATGACTATACGGAGGAGAGGTGTGTTAAAAGCCTGTAGTGTCTGAGGGACGAATGCCTCCACCAAGTGACACAGTTTTCCCACCAAACTGGAAGTTGAAACTGCCACCCAACCATTTTGAACGCTTCATGCTCCTGAACAGACAAGCAAAAAAGAAATCAAGGTATTTTCTGGGGTGACAATGTCTGGCTATCAAGGGGAAATAGGTTGTTACCACACAGAGGGGGCAAGGAGGCTTAGTGAAAGACTTACCTGTATTCCCGAATGATCCTATTCCTAGTACAAATCCTGTGATCAGAGTCACAGCAAGACTGCTGCAGTTCCATACAAGAGGGTCCCCCAGGGCACAGATCTCTCGGGAATCAAAGCTTGAGTCTCTTCTGTGAGCTAAGAACCTGGCTGTCCCTTACTGACTGAAAGCAGAAGAAACCTGAAATAGATATAGTGAAGAAGCAAAGCCATAAATACAACATCGGCCTTAAAATGGGTTATGGAGGCGACAATTATGGCCTCTACTTGAACTTCCCTCCTTGATGTGTCTATTCACACATTTTAGATATTTCGTCTTCTCCCTTTCCCCTACTATTGTCTCCAGCTGGTTGTGTAGGGATTATTAACTTCACCATTAGTCACAGAGTGCAGATTTTTGAGAAGGGAATTTGAGAAAGCTAGAGAAGGAACATCAAGGCACTGGGGTTCCTTCCTTGGGGAGTAAGGTTGTGTGTTTTTTTAATTTTTAAAAAATGTTTATTCATTTTTGAGAGAGAGAGACAGAGCGGGACTGGGGGAAGGATGGTGGTGGGAGGGACACAGAATCCAAAGCAGGCCCCAGGCTCTGAGTTGTCAGCACAGAGCCCGACATGGGCTCAAACCTACGAACTGTGAGAACTGTCAGCTGATGTCAGATGCTTAACCGACTGAGCCACCCAGGCACTCAGGGTGTTTTTAATTACAGGAGTGATAGCTGCTTTCTGCTAATCGGGAAGCAAGTGTAAATTTGGGACACAGGGTGTATGTATTTGGCTGCAAGTGGGGTATATAGGACAGTTAATGTTTGGGCCCCCCACATCGCAGGGGAGGAAAAACTTTCCCTCAGCCATCCTAGGTTCCATAGTTGGGTCTATGAAATAGACTGATAACAGATTAAAGGGAGAAAAGGAATACATATTTATTCACTTTTAATATTACATGCAGGTGGGGATCACAGTGGGAGGAAAAAGGAAATACCCCAAAAAAGCAGTAGGATTGGGAGGTTATATACCATCTTAACAGGAAAGGAGAGGGGAGGGATAGGCCACTTAGGGGAGAGAATAAATGAAGGGCCCTTAGAAGAAAACAGGGGAGATATGATGGTTTGCCACAAAGTGTGTCTGGATGTCACTTCTAGAAGTGGTGTCAATTTCTAGTCTCTCCTGTAAAAAAGTCAATCTTTCCTGGTTGATGAAGCTCCAGGGGAGGGGATTTTAGACAATTGAGTTCCTTTTGAAGGATCTGTCATTGAGCAGAGAGGGGGAATTCAGAGAAAGCCTCTCCCCAGATTTGTTGTTTTTTCAGGTGCAAGGTTCAAAATAATCAGTACACCAAAGCATCATATTTTGTGCTGGCATTTCCTGAATTCCTAAAGGATCCAACCCCAGTCTCCCTTTTGGGAAAAATTCTCACTGTCTGTTGTTATAGTAAGAAGGAAATGCCAGTTTTCACCTCCTACAGCTGTGACCTTCTACAGGAGCAGAGAGGGCTAGATCTTTCCTCTTTCTACTCTTAAGGTACAGCTAGGGGGCAGGCTTCTGATGTACAAGTCCCAAAAACAACACTGAAGATGGCTGGAAAGACCACTATTATATTTATTATTATTATTATTATTATTATTATTATTATTATTATTATTATTTTCTCAATGCGGGACAGAGGCACAGAAAGGGAATGTGGCTGGCTTCCCTGAGTCAAACCACAGTGCCACCTTCGGGAGTCCCGGGGACAGCCATCCCAGGAGCCAAAGTCATCAACTCCTCTGTGGCAACATCCTTTGTTCTTTGTACCACAATAATCTACCTCCTGGGTGGTTGTAAGAGTTACATGAGGGGTGCCTGGATGGCTCAGTCAGTTGACCATCTGACTCTTGATTTCGGCTCCAGTCATGATCTCGTGGCTCATGGGATTGAGCCCCATGTTGGGCTCTGCACTGGCAGCTTGGGGGCTCCTTGGGATTCTCTCCCTCTCTCTGTCCCTCCTCTGCTTGTGCATGCTCTCTCTCTCTCTCTCTCTCAAATAAATAAACATTTAAAAACACACCAAAAAAACTTTAAAAAAAAAGTTACATGGGACAACAGTGCCCAGCACACAAAGAATGTCCCTTTTTTGTAAATTATAAAGTGATACACTAAGTATGGGAGGATGGAGAGAAGAGAGCTTTGCTCAAGACCACATGGCACAGCACATTAGGAGTACAACCAGGGTGTACTGGTAAAAGTTTAACTGGCTTCAGCTGGGGAGTGGGGGACGAACATGATTTGTGGTGTTTGTAGATTTTGATGACATGAACACTCTGACCTTCGTCAATTTTTTTAAGTTTATTTATTTATTTTGAGAGAGAGAGAGAGTGTGTGTGTGTGTGTGTGCATGCAAGTGGGGTGGGGCAGAGAGAGAGAGAGAGAGAGAGAATCTGTCAGTGCAAAATCTGATGTGCGGCTCAAACTCACAAACCGTGAGATCATGACCTGAGCCGAAGTCAGATGCTTAATACACTGAGCCACCCAGGCACCCCTGACTTTTGTCAATTTTTAACTACCAGTGTGACATCACTGAATGCAAAGTTGGCAAGAAACCTGAACCAAGAAGCACACCACTATATAGTATTTTCACCGTATAGGCACAATAAACATAAGTCACTTCAAAAGCATAAGTGTTCATGAAATAACTATAATTAAATATATATAAGTTATATATAAATTTAAATATATACAAAAATATAAATATATTTGAAGAAGACACAAAAAAATGGAAAAATATTCCATGTTCATGGATTGGAAGAACCAATATTGTTAAAATGTCAATACTACCCAAAGCAATCTACGTATTCAATGCACTATCTATCAAAATAACACTAGCATCCTTCACAGAGCTAGAACAAACAATCCTAAAATATATATGGAACCAGAAAAGACCCCAAATAGCCAAAGCAATCCTGAAAAAGAAAACCAAAGAGGGAGGCATCACAATCCCAGACTTCAAGATGTGTTACAAAGCTGTAATCATCAAGACAGTATGGTACTGACACAAAAACAGACACTTGGATCAATGGACCAGAATAGAGAACCCGGAAATGGACCCACAAATGTATGGCCATCTAATCTTTGACAAATGAGGAAAGAATATCCAATGGAATAAAGACAGTCTCTTCAGCAAATGGTGCTGGGGAAACTAGACAGCGACATGCAGAAAAATGAATCTGGACCACTTTCTTACACCATACACAAAAATAAACTCAAAATGGATGAAAGACCTAAACATACGACCGGAAGCCGTCACAAAAGACATGAATAGACACTTCTCCAAAGAAGACATCCAGATGGCCAACTGACACATGAAAAAATGCTCAACATCACTCATCAGGGAAATAAAATCAAAACCACAATGAGACACCACCTCACACCTGTCAGAATGGCTAACATGAACAACTCAGGCAACAACAGATTGCCTGATTGGCGAGGATGCAGAGAAAGAGGATCTCTTTTGCACTGCTGGTGGGAATGCAAACTGGTGCAGCCACTCTGGAAAATAGTATAGAGGTTCCTCAAAAAATTAAAAATAGAACTACCCTACAACCCAGCAATTGCACTACTAGGTATTTATCGAAGGGACACAGGTATGCTGTTTCAAAGGGACACATGCACCCCAATGTTTATAGCAGCACTATCTACAATAGCCAAAGTATGGAAAGAGTCCAAATGTCCATCGATGGATGAATGGATAAAGAAAATGTGGTATATATATACAATGGAGTATTACTCAGCGATCAAAAAGAATGAAACCTTGCCATTTGCAACTACATGGATGGAACTAGAGGTTATTATGCTAAGCGAAATTAGTCAGAGAAAGACAAATATCATATGACTTCATTCATATGAGGACTTTAAGATACAAAACAGATGAACATAAGAGAAGGGAAGCAAAAATAATATAAAAACAGGGAAGGGGGACAAAAACATAAGAGACTCTTAAATATGGAGAACAAACAGAGGGTTACTAGAGGAGTTGTGGGGGTGTGTGGGCTAAATGGGTAAGGGGCATTAAGGAATCTACTCCTGAAATCATTGTTGCACTATATGCTAACCAATTGTGACTAATCTTGTCACGGGTAGAGATAGCCCAGCTGGCCCTGGGGGCACAAGCCCATAATGTGCCAGTGCTGGTCTGCTGTGAAACATACAAGTTCTGCGAGTGTGTGCAGACTGATGCCTTTGTCTCTAATGAACTAGATGACCCTGACGATCTGCTGTGGGAGTGAGGAGAACATGTGGTCATAGCTAACTGGCAGAACCACCCGTCCCTACAGTTGTCAATTCTGGTCTATGATGTGACACCCCCCACACCCCCAGAACTGGTGGATCTGGTTATCACAGAGCTGGGGATGATTCCTTGCAGTTCTGTACCTGTTCTACAAGTCAAGAGTAGTGACCAGTGAGTGAGGGAACACAGGGTCAATATATGACATATGCCCTAAAAATCAATCAATCAAAAAATAAAAATAATTATATAGTGATGAGTTTGGGGTATTCATTACCTTTGGTTTTATATAATTTATTTCATATACTTTTTATATCATTTAATTTTTATAATGGCTGTGTTCAACAATCAGCTCATAAAATTCCTAAAATTTTTTAATTAAAAAATTTTTTAATGTTTATTATTTGAGAAAGAGACAGAGAGCAAGCAGGGGAGGGGCCGAGAGAGAGGGAGACACAGCATCGGAAGCAGGCTCCAGGCTCTGAGCTGCCAGCATAGAGCCTGGCGCGGGGCTCGAACCCACAGAGCACGAGATCATGACCTGAGCTGAAGTCGGCCGCCCAACCAACTGAGCCACCCAGGTGCCCCAAAACTCCTAAGTTTTTTTTAAGTTTATTTATTTTGAGAGAGAGAGAGAGAGAGCAAGCAGGGGAGGGGCAAAGAAAGAGGGAGACAGAGAATCCCAAGAAGGCTCCTTGCTGTCAGCTCAGAGCCTGACTCTGGGGTCAATCTCTGGCAAACCATGAGATAATGACCTGAGCTGAAATCAAGAGTCAGTTGCTTCACTGACTGAGCCACCCAGGCACCCCTAAAATTGCTAAAATTTTAACAGTCAGCTCTAGAAGACTGAACCAGAACCATTCTGCATGCTTTTAGGCATGCGTTACGCTGCCTCTAGCAGCAACTTCGGCATTTTTATTTTCCACTGGGCCCCACAAATTATGTAGTGGGTCTGCTGCCAACACTGTGCTGGAATCTCCAGTGCAGACCCAGGGTGGATTTTGGAGACTTCACCTCCCAGGATCATCTGGGGCCCATCTGCCTTCCATAGAGGAAACCAAGCTTCTCCAGAGGAGCCAGAGGGAATCCTAAGACTGCCCCCTTCCGTGCCTCCTGGAGACGGAGAGCCAGCTTCACCTGAATGAGTCCACAGCACCACCTGGTGGTACCTGGGTGTCAGGCCTTCCTGGGAGCCAAAGCCGGGAAGATCCTGGGACAAGAAATCATCAGCCAAGAGGGGTCCAGCAGGGCAGAAGGGGGCATGTCAGTCAAAGTGATGAGGGAGCGTGGGGCAAGCTGAGGGCAAAGTACAGGCTAACAGCAGCCCTCCCACCCCCTGTGCAGGTGGGATATGTATGATATTCCTTAGACACTCCTGACTGCCTAACAACAAAGAAAAGAACAATCTTATCAATAGCTGATCTCCAGAAATCTACAGACTCCGTTTTCTGGAGACCTAGTATCACCCTCATCAAGATGTAAGGGGGTTTAAGTGCTTGCCATGGTGATGTGGGAAACTAAGGCAAATGAAAAATCAAATTCCCTTACTGCCTACAGCCCATTGACTAGTCCTTGAAGCAGCAGAGTGACCTCCCTCTAGGAGCTCAGCTGCCTGCATGAAATTTTGCTACGGGCAAAAGGGAATTTTGCCTTAACATTATCCTAACCTCCCAGGATCCTGCCAGTCTCCTTAAACACACACAAAAAATTCCTTTACAAACCTCCTTTATCTTTAACCCCCAAGTATATGTTGGCAATTATACTCCAGGCTTATGGCCATTAAAAAAAAAATGTTTTTTAATTTTTCAATTTTAATTTTTTTTAAATTTTTAAACATTAAAAAAAATTTTTTAAATATATGGTATGTCAGATGGTGGTAAGTGGTGTGGAGAAAAAATTTAAGCATGGGAGAGGAATGGGAATGTGGGGGTGCAAGTTGCAACTTTAAATGTGGTCAGAGTGGGTAAAAGATGATATTTAAAAAAAATTTTTTAATGTTTATTTATTTTTGGTAGAGAGAGAGACAGAGACAGAGACAGAGCATGAGCGGGGGAAGGACAGAGAGAGAGGGAGACACAGAATCCGAAACAGGCTCCAGGCTCTGAGCTGTCAACACAGAGCCCGACGCAGGGCTCGAACTCACGGACCGCGAGATCATGACCCGAGCCAAAGTCGGACGCTCAACCGACTGAGCCACCCAGGTGCCCCCAAAGATGATATTTGAGTCAAGATTTGAAGGAGGTGAAGCAAATGGGTATTTGAGGTAAGAGCTTTCTTTCTTTCTTTTTTTTCTTCCTTCCTTCCTTCCTTCCTTCCTTCCTTGTTTATTTATTTTTGAGACAGAGTGAGTGGGGGAGGAGCAGAGGAGAAAGGAGACAGAGAATCCCAAGCAGGTTCCACACTGTCAACACAGAGCCCAACGCAGCCCATGAAAGTCCATGAATCATGAGATCATAACCTGAGCAGAAATCAAGAGCAGGACCACCCAGGCCCCCCTGGGATAAGGTCATTCTAAGCAGAGGGAACAAGAAGTTCAAAGGTTCTGAGTCAGGAGAGTGCTGGCAACTTTGAAGGAACATCAAAATGGCTAATATGGGAGAGGCGCCTGGATGGCAAAGTCGGTTGAGCATCTCACTTCAGCTCAGGTCATGATTTCACAGTTCGTGTTCGAGCTCCACACGGGGCTCTGTGCTGACAGCTCAGAGCCTAGAGCCTGCTTTGGTTCTGTGTCTCCCTCTCTCTCTGCCCCTCCCCTGCTCATGCTCCGTCTCTTGTGCGCTCTCGCGCTCTCTCTCAAAAATAAACAAACATTAAAAAAAAAATTATTTTAATGGCCAATATGGTGGTGCCTGGGTCGCTCAGTCAGTTAAGGGTCTGATGTCATCTTAGGTGCCCCGTGTTGGGACTTTCTGCTGTTAGCACAGAGCCCACTTCATATTCTCTGTCCTGCTCTCTCTCTGCTCCTCCCCCACTTCCCCACTTGCACTCTCTCTCTTTCTCTAAATAAATAAATAAATAAATAAACAAACAAACAAACTTTAAAAAAACGGCCAGTGTGACCGGAACAGGGTGATTAAAGGGGCCAGCAGTTGGAGGGCAGATCAACTACCTAGGGCCTTGAAGGAGATTGTGAGGACTTAGCAGCTTTTCCTCTGAATACAGTAAATAGATATTGGAGAATTTTGAGCAGAGGAGGATCACGATCTGACTTATAAATTTTTTAATGTGAGAAAACACATGGAACGTAAAACTCACATTGTAGCTATTTTCAACTAAACAGTTCAGTGGCATTAAGGACATTCACACTGTTGCACACCCAAAACCGTCATCCATCTCAGGAACCTTTTTATTTTACCACACTGGAACTCTGAACCCACTATTAAACAAGAACTCCCCATCCCTCCTCCCTCTAGCCCCTTGTATCCACCACTCTACTTTTTGTTTCTGTGAATTGTGACTACTCCATATGTTATATAAGTAGAATCATACAATACTCATCCTTTTGTGACTGGCTTATTTCACATGACATAATGTCTTCAGGATTCATCCACATTTTAGCCTGTCAGAATTTCCTCCTTTTTAAGGCTGAATAACATTCCCTTGTAAGTATACACCACATTTCATTTATCCATTCATCTGTCAATGAACACTTGGGTTTCTTATACTTCTGGGCTACTGAGAAAATGCAGCTGTGAATACTGGTGTACAAATATCTGTTAGAATTCCTGCTTTCAATTCTTTTGGGTATATACCAAGAAAGTGGAATTGCTGGATCATATGGTAATTCTGTGTTCAGTTTTTGCAGGAATCACCGTATTGTTTTCCAGAGCAGCTGCACCATTTTACATTCCCACTCTCTTATATTTTTTAAGAGATTACTTTCAGGATGAATTAAGGCTATACGAGAGGAAGGCAAGAGTGGATACAGAGATATCAGTTAAAAAGCTCTTGCATTTATCCAGGTGAGAAATATAATGGCTGGGACTTACACAGCAGCAGTGGAGGTGGTGAGAAGCGACAGGATTCTGGTGTTGTTTCAAAGGTAAAGCCGGGGCGCCTGGGTGGATATGTCAGATAAGCATCCTGCTTTGGCTCAGGCCATGATATCGCAGTTCAGTTCGTGAGCTGGAGCCTGTGCTGTGCTGACAGCTCAGAGCCTGGACCCTGCTTGGGATTCTGTGTCTCCCTCGCTCTCCGCCCCTCCCCCACTCACACTCAGTGTCTCTCTTTCTCAAAAATAAATAAGCTTTTTTTTTTTTTTAATTTAAAGGTAAAGCCAACTAGATTTGCTGAGGAATTAGCTCAGGTCATGATCTCCCAGTTTCATGAGTTCAAGCCCTGCGTGGGGCTCTGTGCTGGCAGTGAGGAGTCCGCTTCGGATTCTCTCCCCCCCCCCTCCCGCTCCTCCCCTTCTCACTCTGTCTCTGTCTCTCTTTAAATTAGTTAATTAAAATCGTGAGACTTGATGATATCATCTGGTGAATGATTACAGACATCGAAAAGGAGAAGGTCAAGGACTAAGTCCTTGGACATTCCAGCGACAAGAGGTCAGTGAAAAAACAGTAGAGAACACTGAAAAGGAGATGCCAGCAAGGTAAGAGGAAAGTCAGGAGGGCATGGTGTCCTGGAGCAAAGTGAAGAAAGTAAAAGTTTTAAAAGGTAGATGGGGTGCCTGGGTGGCTCAGTCAGTTAAGTCTCCAACTTTGGCTCAGGTCATGATCTCACGGTTTGTGAGTTCGCCTCTGCGTCTGGCTCTGCGTTGACAACTCAGCGCCTGGAGCCTCCTTTGGATTCTGTGCCTCTCTCTCTCTCTGCCCCTCCCCCACTCACACTCTGTCTCTCTCTCTCTCTCTCTCAAAAATAAATAAACATAAAAAAAAACCTTTTAATAAAATAAAAAGTAGGAAGGTGATCAACTGTGTCAAGTAAGATGCTAATGGTCCAAATAAGAATTGAAAATTGGCCATGGCTCTTAACATCTTAAAAAAAGTTAGGTCAACTTATTGTGGGGAGGCAAAAACCTGACTGAAGTGAATTCAAGAGAGATTGGGAAGAGAGGGGAGTTGAAGACAGCGCGGGTGGGCAAGTCTTAGAGGAGTTTTGCTGTAAAGGGAATTAGGGAATGGGTGTCGGGTCAAGAGAGGGTTGATATTTATTTCCATGCTTTTAATGTGGGAGAAATACCATGTATGACGACAGGAACAATCATGTAAAGAGAAAAAACGGAATGGCTGGTGGGGGAATTACTAAAGCTACGCCCCTAAACAGACAAGAGGCCATGGGATTTGACAGGTAGCAGATCCAGAAAGTTTGTCTCTGTCCCCCTTTCACAAGTCAATCCACATTCAGCTCCAGTTCAAAAAGTTCTGATTTGGGCTATCAAAAGTTGAGATAGGTGAATGTGTGTCTATCTCCCTAATATCCTCAGAGCCCCTCGAGAAGCCTCATGGAAGTTAACTGTGATGAAATTTTCTCCACACACCTGCAGACCCTAGCCCAGGGCTCCGCTCTGCGCTTGTTGGATTAGCCCGAAGAGACCCCAAGCAGCTGTTACGCGGCTTGTTTCATAAAGGGGGGTGGTCCTAGACCTGAGCTCTAGGATCCAGACTTTCGAGCTCCAGCCCCACTCCCTCCCTTTCTCCGCTCCGCTCCCGCGCCTTCGCGGTCCGGCTAGAGGGACGAACGTGGCCCTTAGCAGCCACCGTATCCGATGTACGCTGATTAAAGAGTAGTTGTTGTAGGGGGGTAGGGCTACCGCTGGGGAGTGGACCCTGAGAACCGAACTGAGTGAGGATTGGGCCAAGAGTCCAGAGGCGGAGTTGAAGGGCGAATTGTAGACGGACACTGGACGGGGCTCAAGGAGGCGGGGCCCAGTAGTGGACCGGAGCGGAGATTGGGCTGGGGGCGGTGTCAGCGCGAGGATTGGGCCGAGCGCTCCGGGGCGGTGCCTGAGGGGGCGGTGCCGTGTCGGAAGTCAGAGGTCAGTAAATAGTGGTGATGTCATGCGGGCAAGATGGCGGAAGGGTGAGCCCGTCATCCTGCTCTCCGGCGTTGGGGCCTGAATTCTCTGAGGGCCGGGGTGCTGGGCCAGGGTCCCCGTGGGGAGCAGGAGGCCAGCGCGCGAGTGGACGGAACTGAAAAGGCGGGGTGGAGTCGCAGTGTGAGGGGGGTGGGGAAGCGGTCTGCCAAGTCTCGGCCCGCGGACCACATCTCAGGGGGAAACTGAGACCCGATCGTTGCGCGGGCAAGAGTCGCACCGCAGGGCCGCCAGATGTGTCTGTCTTCCACAGGGAGGACGTGGGATGGTGGCGGAGCTGGCTGCAGCAGAGCTACCAGGCAGTCAAGGAGAAGGTAAGCCGGGCCGGCGCCCTTCCTCCGGCAGGGCCTCGCTCCGCCTCACTGCAACCAGGTCCGAGCGGCCCCGCCCGACCTACGTGGGCGCCAGGCCTTCGAGATGAGGCCCACCGAGCTCTACTGTTATACCTTATCGGTGTAAGGGAGGACTGACCCCGACTCAGGCCAGTGTGACAGTCGCCACGGTGAAATACATGTTGGTTTAAAGGCTGGCGCGACCCTTTTGTAGGAATCCATAGGAAGAGCAGTTTATTCCAGCTCAGGAAATTCACAGCTTCGTAGAAGAGAGAACGTTTGATCTAGGTCCTGAAGAAGAACTCTAGCGATAGAAACTTACTGCTCTAGTCATTCGGGTATTAGAATGGCACAGCCAGCACTCTGTGACAGGTCCTGAGGATAAGCTGCAATCCTGGGCCTCACGAAGCTCAGTCTGGCAGGGAGGCAGCAATCCCTGTGGGATGAGTGAGGCTCTGCTCTACCACTGGACAATGCTGTTGTGTGTTTCTGTTCCCTTCCGTGCTAGTTTGTCAAAGCGGGCCCCAGTGAATTGTGGAAAAAAGTTAATTACCGTTTACCTCAGGGAATTGGGGTGAGTCCTGCTTCAGGGCAGACTCGGGGAGGCTTTCTGAGGCTTTCTGATCTCGGTTAAATCAGTCCTCTACTCTGGGAGCATTTTAATACCTCCTTTAGCCTATGCAGTCCTGGACAGCCTCTCAGCTACAGCCTAGCAAATCTAAGAATGCCCTGAGTTGTTTACGTTGTTGATAAGCACGAGGAGAATTTCACAAAGAAGTTTAATTGAAGAGACCTCAAAGAAGGTCACTTCCATTGAGCGATCTCTTGGAAGGAGAGTCTGACGTTCATTCAGCAGGTGTGCGAGGGGCTCCTGTGTGTTTCTCTCAAGGCTGGTCTTACCATAACTCATGAAAAATAGATAGTTGGTTAGCTTTCTATCTTCGTTCTTGGGGAACTCCCAGCTTGAAGCAGGGGTGTGGACGTTGTTTCTGCCTTTGACAGTTACCCCATTCAGAAAGAGGACTTAATCTCCCTCTCAGCTGCTTACTGTTAGACCAAGTTGAGCAAGTTATTTAACCTTTCTAGGCCTCAGTTCCTCATCTGCAAAATGGGAGTACTGATTATACCTACCTGATAGTATTGTAAGGATTGAGTGATAATGTGTAAAGCACCAAGGACAATGCTTAGCACACAGTAAATAGTATATAAGCTGGAGTTATTTTTATTAAGTCCTGAGGAGGGTGATGGGGAAATCCCTTAAACACCACCCATCCATTTTTACTTCCTTTTTTTTTTTTTTTTTCTTGGTCTTGCAGTGCTTTCCTGGCCTTGCCTCCTTCCCCCTTCCCATCCTGGCTCCATCTGGACCACTCAATTCCCAGGACCCTCAGTTCCCTTGCACCCCTTAGCGTACTGCCCTGGAGACAACAGTTTGAGATGGTGCTATAATCTACCTTCCTGTGCGCCTTACCTCATCCTATAGTGTACGTGTGTGCTTGCATTTACCCACAGACAGTGATAGAGAAAGTCATATTGCTCTTTGGCCCAACCACAGATTCACCAACCTTACTCAGGCCTGAGCAACACCCAGCAAGCTTTTCCAGTCTCTGATAGGCTTTTCTTCCCCCTTGCCTTCAGAAACTTTCCCCAGACCTAACTCTTCCTCAAGTCCACTGTTCAGCTGCTTCTTCTTTTACCTCTGGGAGACAACCTCACCTCCTACTGTTTATAATTTGAGATCAACAGCGTGATCTCTCATGACTCCGTCCCCATCCCTGCAGCTACCACATACAAGCTTATCTGTAAACACACTCAGCTTCACCTACCGCTCGCCAAATCCAGTGGGTGGTTTTCAGCCCTTATCTTCCTGGACCATTCTGCTGCATTTGACACTAGTGATCACTCCCTCTTTCTTGAAACTCTACTCCTTTGGCTTTGTGGCATGCTTCTCTCTCAATTCTCCACATCTCCAGGCTTTTCTTTCCCGACTGTCTCATGACTTCCCCTTCCTGCGCCTTAAAAGTGTAGTGTTTGAGGGGTCTTGTCCTCCGCTCACTGCTCTGTTCACTCTACAAACGCTTCCTGGGTGACCTCCTCCATTTCCATGATGGAGTGACTCCTAGTCCTTTACTCTGAACTTTAGTGTTTGAGAATAGCTGCTGATGGACAACTATCCAGATACGCCACACATGCTACAGGACCGAAATCATTGTCATCACCCTCTCTCTAAGCGGGCTTCCCCTTTGGCATTTTCTCCCTCAGCTGGCAGCCCTGCATCCACCCAGGCACCTAGTTTAGCAGCCAGTGGCCCTTCCTTGACTCTTTTTTGCCCTCAGTCAACACATCCATTTAATCACCAAATCTACCTTTTTTGACTAATATTTCTTGAACCAGTCCCATCCTTTCATCCTGACCAGCACTGTCCTTATTCATATTCTGTTTTCTTTTCTGGACTATTGCAGCAGCAGCAGCCTCCTGACTGGTTTTCCTCTGTCTTCTATTCTTGTCACTTTTGGACCCGTCCATGGCACTCCATGCCAGTGACTGGAGTGACCTGTGAAAAAGGCAAAGCTCATCATGTCCCACCTCCTTCAAACCCTTGATGGCTCCCCATTACCCTCAGGGCTGACCAGGCCCTCCATAGTTGCCCCTGGCAACCTCTCCAGCTTTATTCGAAACCAGTTTTGCTTTACCTTTTATGTTCGTTAGGACTGAAATGCACATGGGCTTCGGTAAGCCCTATGCCCTACTATGCCCCAGGCAGG